CCATATGGCCATGAATGTTATGAGTTTTAGGCTTTTTCTCAATTGTATGGGCTTAAAAAAACATTAAATCACCGCCCAAAAGATATTTTGTTTGTTTTAATTGTTTTCTTGATATCTTCTACTCTCGCTTATGATTTTTCTTCAAATTTTTTTTCATATGGCTGGCCCCATTTTTTATTTTGTTTATGGCCCTGATTTTTTCAGGCCGGCCCTGCATGTACGTAAATAAGTATTATATATGTGTACATAAATTAAGCATCATAGATATATACTCAGTATATATCGTACTTTCTAGCCTCCACCATCCTCGAGTCTTCTTTTAAATATTGTTCACATGCAATAACTACTCTAAACCTACGCTCAGAGATTCCTTGTAGAAACTAAAATGGAGCAATATTATAACAAACTTCATCTATTTACTCCCTCCACACGCTCCATCAGGGGTAAATGGTCAAAACATTTCAAGAAAGTGTCAAACTGACATTAGTTTCAGGAAAGTGTTAAAAAACGTTAGCTATAATGGAAAACTGTTAAATGAACCAATTCTCTCTTTAAACTTTGTAGTCGATCTTTTGTTTAGCAAAAAAAAAAACTTTGTAGTCGATCTCTCCTATATATCATGACTGCTCAAATATGTGTGGCAGCTTCTAGTACGTGAAAACTATGTGTTTCTTTTGGGGAGAAATGGAAGCAAGGGTCTGCGTTTCAAATTTCATAGCTTGTGTCTAAGGGGAAGGAGAAGATGGGAATCAAACCATCTAATGATGTTGCCGAGATGACTTATCAATGGCCTCATTTTAATGGACGAAGAAAAAATGCACTGCGTGTTCGAATCAACAATGACGACGAAATGCAACTCTTTTGACTAAAAAAAATGTTTTAACACTTTTATCTTCTTCACGGTGAATTTAGAGCATCTTCAATATATCACTCTATTTTTCACTTCAAAATGGAATAACTCCAAAATAAAATTGGATTTTACTCCAATATATTACTTCATTTCTCACTCCAAAATAATATTTTAATTATATTTCATTTTTCTATTCATTATTAATTACTAATAATACATTTTATTTATAAAATTTACAAATTGACCCCAATATTTTTTATTTTTATTAATTCACACATACATACATAATAACTTTAAAATATATATTTTAAAAATTTAAATTCATAATAATATAAATTAACTTAGCCGTACATACACATTTTTAACAAAAAAAAATAATTACAATTTCACACATTATAATATAATATATCATTTTTGTTGCAAATTCTTGTGATTTTGACAAATTCATAAAAATTTAATTAAAAATAATATCAAACAAATAGAAAATCATCGCCAAAATAATTATTTACCTCTTAAAATTAATTTATTTAAAATTTGAAGGACCATTTTATAAATAAAAAAGTTCAACTCCAAAATGGAGTGGAAAATGAGATTAATCCATATTTGGAAGAAAAAATGGAGTTGAAAATGGAGTGGGGTTAGAGAGGATTTTACTCCAAATTGGAGTTTGGAGTAAGATATGGAATGGGGTTAGAGATGCCTTTAGTTTTATTTGTGATAGGAATAACATCTCCTTGATTTCTCGCTTAACTTTAAACCGATTTTTTTTTGTAATAACTTCAAAATTTGCACTTTAACTCTAGTCTATAGAGATTCGAAGTCAATTTTAGTTTATTCTCTTTGAGAATACTTAGAGTCAATCGTCGTAATTGAACCGATTGTTTTGATTCGCTAGATCTGAAAATATTTATTGTTTTTCTTCCACCCGTATGCTTGCAACTCC